TAAAGTGTTTGCTCGACATACACAAACCCAGCCTTTTGCACAAGAGGAAATAATGTAACGTTTGAAAGCAGCCCCTGGCAGTCTTCTTTGTTGACATATTACTAGCTGGTCACAAGAAGGGCAGAAGCAGAGTATAATATTAAAGGGGCATTTGGAAGGCATTGTGAGATACTTAGGATCCGATTTACCTTGATCTCCATTACTAATGACAATTACACTGATAAAGCACAAACCTTAAACCAGTGACCATTTCCCTTGGCAATGCAGGTGTATATGAACTACATCTCCCAAGAGGCTCAATCAGACTTTAGGTTATCTGAGCATTATGGGAAATGCCCATACATATCTGCAGTGCCAGTGGTAAGCAAGCATGACTGCCTTAACTCCATACAAGGAGAAGCCATTGTGTTTGTAAGTTCTTCTTACATGCTAGAGCAGTTTTCCCTGTTGGTGTTCCCTGAGAACAAAAATGGGGTACTGCCATAATATTGACAATCAAAATGGCTGCCGCAATTTTATCGGGCCACTGAAGTATTGACCGTCTGAGAGGAAGTGATAGCAGATCACTTCCTCTCAGCTTCACGGAGTTGCTACGGCGCTTTATGGAGGGAGGAGGCGGCTGGAGGCTGTGAGGAGGTTGGAGACAGCTGCACAGACAGGCAGCAGCATGGATGGCAGAGGAGAGGCTAGAGTGGAGTGATCAGCTGCATGCTCACTCCCATCAGCCTCAGCCAACATCACCAAGACCACAAGCAAGCAATCCTCCTGGACACACAAGGTAAGCATACAGTAGGGTTGCTCTGATGTATGTATGTATGTATGTATGTGCCATGTGTGTGCATCTGTGTGTCAAGGTATGTGTCACTGTGTGTATCTGAGTGTGTGTGTGTATGTACCAGTATGTGTATCTGTGTGTATCAGTGTGTGTGTATTTGTCAGTTTGTGTATGTGTCACTGTGTGTATCTGAATGAGTGTTGGTGTGTGTATCTGTGTGCAAGTTGTGTATGTGTCACTGTGTGTATCTGTGTGTCTAGGTGTGTTTATGTATCAGTGTGTGTGTATATGCCAGTATGTGATTATCGTTGTGTTTGTATCTACCAGTGTGTGTATCTGAGTGTGTGTGGCAGTGGGTCAAGGTTTGTGTATCTAAATGTGTGTATATGTCAGTATGTGTGTATCAGCTTGTGTGTGTGTATATATGTGCCAGTGTGTATATCTGTGTGTCAAGGTCTGTGCATCTGTCAAGGTGTAAATCTTTATGTATATGTGTATTTGTCAGTGTGTATATGAATGTGTGTGTTTAAATGTGTGTCTGTGTGTTTATGTGTCTGTGTATCTGTGCAAGTATGTATGTATGTGGCAGTATATGTGCATACATGCCAGCATTCAAATACAAACACAACACGCAAACACACAAACATTACATACAAAAAAATGCCTGAATTCAAATTCCAAATTTATATATGTGATGGACCGCCTGGCACCCCGAACGGGTACCTCCATCAATCGCTGCTTCCTAGTACTTTCATGTACCATAAGCACTGCACTGGATTACCATAATCACTGTACACCCCATGAACTGCCGCAGCTTGGTTGGAGTCTCGCCGTCCTCCACCCACCCTGAACCCAAGACCAGGATCCAGCTTCAAGTAGGTAGACCTCTCCTAGTCCAGAGAGTAGAGCAGGAACAGCTCTTACAAAAACTTAGTGATTACAATCAGGGGAATATAGTGATTATAGCAATCTCCAGAGTGAATGTAGTTCTCCAATCCCCCAAACATAAGTCTAGACTTCATGAAGGGTAAAACAAGTGTGTTTAATGGAAGCTACAGCTGGCCTTTAATGCAAGTCCCCAAGCAAGGTATATGCCCACATGTACCTTGTGGGGGACAGGGACACAAAGCTTACAAACCAATCAGAACAGTAATTAAATGTACGACACTCCCACACACAATCCCTCCCCTCTGCATGGGAGATAATTGAGTAAAGTACAATATGTAACTCAATTGTCTCCAGGCAGAAAAACCACATATTTTGTAAAGTCTCATAAGTACCCCAAAACACAACATATCCCAATGTTACACCCCCTGATAGCCTTGATCTGGGTGAACAACATATCAAAAAATCACCCAGATCAGAGCAGGGGTTCAGTAAATTACTGAAAGTCTCTTTTTGACTGACCACACGCATGGTCCCATGCCCAAAACATTTCCAGAGAATCAGGGCTTGCAGTCGGTCTAGTTCGGTAGTTTTGAAAACTAACAAACTACCGAGCAGAGTCAATAGTCTTACCCTGGAACTTGTTCCCTTCATCCAGGCGAATGATCTCACTGAACAGTGCCTTTCTAAATTGAATAGAATCGAACTGGTGTTCGGGAGTTTCTGTATCCAATTTTACTTCCATGAGATTCATGCCCAAACACCGCTGCTTGCGTTCATGCAAACAAGATGGCCGCCACCTCGTGGTTGTTCATAGGAATTGCGACCACCCAGATGAACAATTAGAATACTGCAGTGAGAAACGTTCCAAGTTGTTAATAGGTGTTAACAGAGCCTGTTTGAAGTAGTTTAGCCAGGTCTATTAAAGGGGCCATAGTCACAGGGTAAAAGGCTGGCAAACAGGCCCCTCCAAAAGTCAGTGGCGAAGTTCAGTTCATCACAATATACAAACACTCAATCACCAATACTACACACAAATGTACATCCGCATTTAAAAGCCAACACTACATCCAAACACACCCCTGGACTCAAATGCAAACATTGCATAAAAACACATCCCTGTATCAAATCGCAAAACTTATATACAAACACCAACTTTATATACAAAAGCACACCTGCTCATAAGTACATCTATCTGTTTACTATCTGCGCTATGATGCAAAAAGATTTTGGGGCTTCCACAGTGTTGGTACACTATGTCAAAGGGTTCCACGGGAAAAATTAATTTGGAACCCCTGTGCTAGAGGATTACTATTTAAAAATATTACTGAACTGTAACCACCTGATTGCACCTATGTTTGTTTAAGTTTTTTTAGGCTTTGAGAATCATGCAAATTGTGTTTTTATTTATTTATTTTTTTGTAATATTATATTTTACTAAATTGTAACAATGCAGTGTTTGTGTACCAAGGCCACACATGAAAAAGAGAGAAGCCTCAATGTATCCTTCCTGCTCAAATATTTTTATAAATAAATAAATGTATCTTTATTAATATAGTACTACATGTAAAGGCATTTGTCGACTGTCAAACTAAAGTCAAATAGAGGAGAATTAAGTGGTTGACTGCTATCAGCAGTATGCACAGGGTCAGTCTGTGTTAAATTACTTTTGACTTCTATAATGGCCCCTGCCACAGATATAACTGTAACGAGTTGGCAATATGGATTTGTAATATTATCTACATTACTAATAGCTGTTATATAACAAAACACCAAAAGAAAATATGCACATCAAATGTATATTAACACAATGAAAATATGTAGTGTATCGATCAAAGTAGAATGGAATAGCCTTTTTTTTTTCACTCTTACCTGGCTTTTTTGGTCTAAACTGTGAAAGTTTGTTGTCAACCCATTAGCAAAATAGAACACTGCATCTTTAAAGGACCACTATAGTGCCAGGAAAACAAACTAGTTTTCCTGGCACTATAGTGCCCTGAGGATGCTCCCACCCTCAGGGTCCCACTCCCACCGGGCTGGATGGCAAGGAAAGGGGTTAAACGTACCTTTTTTCCAGTGCCGGGCTGGGAGCTCTCCGCCTCCGATCCTCCTCTTCGGCTGAATGCGCATGCGCGGCAGGAGCTGCGCGCGCATTCGGCCAGTCTCATAGGAAAGCATTCATAATGCTTTCCTATGGACGCTGGCATCTTCTCACTGTGATTTTCACAGCACAGCACGCAAACGCCTCTAGCGGCTGTCAATGAGACAGCCACTAGAGGCTTTAGAGGCTGGATTAACCCATTTATAAACATAGCAGTTTCTCTGAAACTGCTATGTTCATTAAAAAAAAGGGTTAATCCTAGAGGGACCTGGCACCCAGACCACTTCAATAAGCTGAAGTGGTCTGGGTGCCTAGAGTGGTCCTCTCACTCTCACACATTGTAACCCACAAGTGGCAGTGGGGAGAAGAGGAGGAATGTGAAGCTGACAAAGGAACTGGAGGGAATTGGCTAGGCCACATGGGGCCTCCCAGCCTGGGAATAGCAATAAGACACTTGGGAAGTTTAAAGGGGAACTTCCACTTAACTGAAGTTTACGCCATTGAATAAACCATTGAAAATCAGCTATAACTTGTGTTAACCTTTTTCATGAAATGCTAAATATTCTTCTAAATTTATATTAAAAAATTGGAAAATTACCTCACAATTCAGTTCAAACAATGCAAATCCAGGGCAAGCATTGCAAACGAAGAGGGGAAATAGAAATATTGTTTCATTTCTCCTCTTTCTCTGTATGTTTTCTTTGTGCTGACTGCTAGACGAGAAGGATGGAGCTTATAACTATGATTGACAGGGAGATAAGATGGATGCATCCAGTTGCATGATAAACAATTGTGGGTTTCTACATGTAACTTTATAGTTCACACTTCACAAACACATATTTGTTAAGTATAGTGATTAGTAAACATGATATTAAAAAATCTTGGGAAGTGACAGTTTACCTTTTCAAATGGATACAATACCATCACAAATGCATACAAGTATTTTGAGGTGGGGTTGTGCATTGTGTGGGTGGAATAACACACCAATCTCCCAGAGAAGAGCTGTTTCAAATGTATATAGACTGCCAAACCCAGAAACTGCAAATGGAATACTGCAGATTCCCCAGGATGTAATACACAAAAGAATGAATTCTTCTTTCTATCTTCATTCCATCTCTTATTCAGTGCAAGCTACGTGTTGCGTTAACAAGTACACACAAATAAACCATTTTACCGCCATACATTCCCTTCAGGTTATGAAGGACAACAGCCGGTTACATCTCACAGGCACTCCAGTCACTGTCCTTCCCTGTAAAAGCAGCTATGGTGGGATACTTTCCAGAAAAAACAGCATGATGTACTATCAAGACAACAGTTTGAACTGTCTACTCAAATGCATCTTGTCCCACCTGCATCAACAGTATAGTCATTACAGCCAAATCCCACTGACACTTTGTACACATTCTCAGCCACCTGCAAACTGAACTGAAAATCTCCCCAGACCAAAATATGGCAGCCAGATGGCCTCTGACCCTGCCTGCAACTAAAACCAAAAACAAAATAAAAGCATGTTTTTCTGATCTAAAATTTACTTTACAAAAGGGAAACATTTGTATATATTTTTTTAACTTTATATATTTTTTCCTAGCTGTTTTTCTTAATTCTCTACAGCAATACATAAGCATATGAATCAATTCCACATCTGGGCCTCGATTAAATTAAAGCCTTTCACATGTACCAGCTCATGGTAAGCCATATAATGGTTTGAATTGATTAAATTACTACCGTTTAAGGTTTATCGGGAGTTGATAATTATCAGATTGAATTTCAAAACCGATAACTATACTTTACATTGAAAATAATGGCTTTGGGGATTTAACTCTATTTATCTGACACATAATCCCTGATAAATGGTTTCATCAAATTCAACAGCTAGAAGTACTTGATAAATCATTTTGTTTGGCTATTTGCCCACTGATAGCATTAGAAGCCAGAGGGCAAATAGTAAAAAAAAAGTATGAACCACATTGTGCGTGTGGTGTGTGTTGGCTTTATTATAAGTAATGTAATTCAGATTTGTATGCTCTACATTTGACTGTTTTATGCATATAAAAGCAATAATTATAACATTTACGCAAGTAACAATGAATATAATGCACATATATTAATACATGTGTATATATGAATAATATTTAAAATGTAAGTATAAGTTATTGAATTTATTTTAAGAAAGCTTGTCCTCACTCACCTACACACACTTTCTTTGACACACACTGCAACACACAATCACTGACCCACACAGTAACATACATACCCACAAACACACATTTCTTGACACTCTACATACTCACACACAGACAAACTAACACACACACATGGATCCATTTATACACAAAGTACATCTGTATCACTTAAAATACAGTCCCTCTGGGGGGACGGGAGAGCTTGGATACTCCCACATCTTTTCCCGCTTATCTGCTCACACTCTTTATCCTCTCCTCTGCTCTCTGCTCTCCCTGTCCGTCTTCCTTTTTTTCTCTCTTGGTCCACCCCGGGGTGTCGGGCTTCCTCAGGGCTGCTGCCGTTGGGTGTGTTGGTGAAGTGTCTTCTGCGTGGGCTGGGCCTGGTTCGGGGATAATTATGGCATATCGCTCTGCTCCCCTGTATGTCCTCACTCTCAACTGTAGGGGATTAAATATTCCGGAACAGAGAACGCACTTGTTGAGGGAACTGAAGAAAAAACATATATCGGTAGCTCTGTTGCGGGAAATGCATTTTATGGAAGGCGAGGCTCCGAAGCTCCAGAACAGACACTATCCAGTCAATTACTTCTGCACGGGCGTTTCCTCTTCCTGAAATGCATTATAGCCGACAAGCTATACACATTCGCATCTCTATACACTCCCAACAGGAGACAGACACAATATATTAGGGGGAACGTTGACTAAGCTGAAAGACTTCTCAGGCAGTATCAGTAAATTTTTCATCTATTACTATGAAGAGCATCTACTTAAAAAAGGTGTCCCTCCCACAACATGGTGCCAGTTGAGTCAAGTTCTACTTTGCTATCTTAAATTGTTTTCTGGAGATACACCAAGATTTCACCTATGTCCCTTTTGCATCTAAGTGGAAGTCTCTTTAATGTGCTCAGAATGCATTTACACAGGATCTGCCGTTTGTCTTGAACTGTTAATTTAGAGTCTTCCTCACAAAGAAAAGATTCTAAGGGTGGCAGTTTTCAGCTATAGAGATCTGACATCTTCTAATTTTACATTATGTAAGAACCCTTATAAATGATTGATGACCTGGATAAGAACTGTTAAATACATTTTAAAAATAATTTCTTCACTCCTCTCAATATCCATAAACTATATCTTACAACATTGCCTCTTTTAAAGGGCCAGGAATATGCCTTCACCACACTTACACAGCCCACACCCTTTATTCTTATCTGCAAGTGAGAGTTGTACAAACATTGTTTATCAGAGCAGCTATGTTTAATCTTGGGAACCCTGAAGGTTTGACCCTTCACATTATTGTTATTTAGATCTGGGCTCTGGGCAACCCTTCTTGTCTAGGAATTCTATTGGACCTCCACCTCGCCATTCATCAGTGCTAGATGGAATTCTCTGTGCAGTGTACATATACAAACACCAGTTATTTCTTAAACACAAAAGACACTTTCACCCATAGGTTGTACACTTGAACTAATAGTGACCAGCTGAGATTTTAAGATGATAACTGCTCTTTACCCATCAGGCGTACATGCCTATGTTTACCCTGAAAGTTACCCCCCCAGCTTGACTGGTTTATCAACCATTTAAGATACCACCACCTCTGATGCTTTTTATTTTCACATGTAATATAACCACAACATTTTCAGTTCAGAGTATGAGTCACAGATAGCTGTTTTGTCTTATTGATATGTCTCTGTATGTGGGGCAATGTGTGTATGGGGGGACAGTGTGTGAATGTGTATAGTATGTATGGGGGACAGTGTATATATGTGTTGGGCAGTGTATGTGTGTAGGGGCAGTGTGTGTATGGGGGCAGTGTATCTGTGTGTGTGTATGGGGGCAGTGTGTGTGTGTGGGGGCAGTGTGTGTATGGGGGCAGTGCATGTGTATGTAGGGGCAGTGTATGGGGGGTGGTGTATGTGTGTGTGGGGGCAGTGTGGGAATGTGTGGTGAGGAGGGTAGGGGGGCTTTTTTATAAAAAAATAAAAATAAAAATAAATAAATGTATGTCCTCCCTTTTTACCTTTACTGAGGGGGGGGGGGACATTTCTCGATCCCTGGTGGTCCGGTGGGGAATCCCTGGTGGTCCCAGTGGTGAGAGTGAACTCTAGCCCGCAGCTCCAGGGCTAGAGTTCACGCTTGCGAGATCCGGAGCACTGCCATGGTAACCAGGGCAGCGCTCCATGCGCGCGAGAGTAGGACCCGGAAGAGCTGCAGGCTGAGCTCCCGGGTCCTCTCTCCCTCCCCTGCTGGCTGCCAGCAATGTGCCTGGGGACCGGGGAGAGAGATCTCTGATCTCCCCTTCAGTCCTTGAAGGCACATTGCAGGGCCGGAGCTTGGAAAGTGCCAGCCCTGCATTAGCCGACAGTGGAGAGCCTCGTGGGGGGGGGCAATTGCCCCGTTGCCCCCCCGATCCGCCAGTGACACACAGATACACATTGGTACATACAAACATATTGATACATCCCTTGACACACACTAGCACATACACACACACGCAGATACACACATTGACACATACCTTGACACACACACAAACATTTCCTCATTACATTAGATATCATACAGTGTCATATGTTTATTATAAATGTAACGGACCGTTTTGCTCACAAGAGGTTAAAAACCCGTTTAGGCGATCTTCCCCTTTCCAGATAGACGAGCAGCTACTGCAAGCACCAATTTCCCAAACTGCAAACACAAGAATCCCCCAACTCGCGAACGGGAAGCACATGAATGCTGGAAACAGCCGAACAGGAAAAAACATGCGAACAGCTTACACTCCTGGCAATCGGTCTGAAGCAGCATACAATCCAATTCCCCAAATAACGAGACGACACTTCGTTTTGAGGATCAAGCAGCATCTGGTTTACTAGGGCTACCTGCCTGGCCTTTATTCAGGTCTCCTACCTGGTGGACACTCCCCTAGGGGACCAGATGGAAGATTGGGACACAAAGAGTAAAAGGACCAATCAGAGACTTACACATTTCAACAATCCCACAATGCATCACAATCCCTCCTCTCTAGCCTGGAGATAATTGGGAAGTAATCCAATTATCTCAAAGGACAGAGGCAAAACTCCCTTACACACATTTTCAGTAAAAAGACATAGAATTACATACGGTTACATTTATCACATAAAACATACACATTCAACATATCCCCAGATAGCTTAGAGCTATTACCGAATGGCGCTCAGATCACATACATACAGTTCAATCGCCATGGAGCCAAAGTCTTTCCCATAGTCTTTCGTTACATGAATAGGCTCAATGGCATGGCTATCTGGGGTGATGCCCTTCATACGGTTAAACTACTGAATGAACAGGCATTCGGTTCCACTACCGAATGCAGAGGTAAGGAGGCTGGCGGCTCAGCGGTGTTCGCGCAAATAAGTGTCCGTTTCCAGTTCCATAGTTTGGGAGCTGAACACCGCTGGCCGTTCGGGAGTTAAAATGGCTGCTGCCACGTGTTCGGCAAATGAACAAAGGCTAACCAGCGTTCGTCAATTAAGCTGCGGTTAACCACAGCTTCTGGGCGGTCAATTGACGGCACACTCCAGTTCCCAGGTGGTCGATCGTTCGGTACTTTGTTCAGTAGATTGAATCTACCGAACACCCCGGCAGAAAGGCACGAATAAGCCTTTCTGCAGGGATAATGAAAGGTTTTAAATGCCGGGCCGTAGTCTAAAGGGAGCAGGCGAGCAACCAGGCTCCTCCAGTGCACAGTGGCGATGTTGGTTCCGCCACAATAAATAAATATAAAGAGACAGATAAACTCATAAATACCTATATAGTGCTTTGTGAAATTTGAGAGGGGGGTGACTAATGAGGCTGGGTTACATTGCTGAAAACAGCAAAACACTTCACAAAACTACACCGAATTGAAAGAAAAGAAACTAACCACAGGTATTTGAGCTTACTAGCTTTAATTTAATTTAAACTTTTAAGAAATATCACCTGTAAAAAAAAAAACAGTCTCTCTCTCTTTCTCTATATATATACACACACACACACACACACACACACCATGTACTGAGAAGTTCTATTCAACACAATGTTTGTGCATAAAGAGTTTGTCAATGCAAATTTTGACCCTATTTTTAATGCATATATAGGTAACACACTAAAAAAAAGAATACACAACTGATAGTGATCAGCACTAGGCTGTGTACGCTGCCCAGTATTGATCAGTGTATGAATGGCAGCGATAGCTCCAGAAACTGCCTGAGAGAGGGAGATGTCCCTTTTATGCTCATCAAGCGCTCGGTGCTGTATAAGCTGGTAAATACCTCTACTGACATCAGTACTCAAACCAGCAGAGGGAATCCTTCTGTGTTAGGAGAAGGATAGGTTCAGAGTCAGGCCTATTATTAAGGTTAGCTTTAGTGTTAGGGTTGGTGTCGTGTTAGGGTTGGTGTCGTGTTAGTAATAGGTTGTGTTAGGTTATTTAGGAGTAGGGTATACTTGCATTCAAAATGCCATGGGCTGTAACTCCCATGATTCTCATCCAAGCAAAGTGTATCTGTGAGTGAAGAGACTTAAACTCCTCCTTCCACCATCTTCAAAGGAACACTATTGGGACCCAGCTCATTGAAGTTGTCTGGGTGCACTGTCCCAGGTCCCTTAGCCCTGCAAAGCGATTTATTGCAGTTTTTAAGAAACATCAATAAAGTTGGGTCGTTAATTTTGGTCACCTAACTGACATTGGATGTCCTCCTGCTATAAATATGGACATCCAGCATCACCTGAATCCTACTGGGAAAGCATTGTATAATGCTTTCCTATGCGAATATCCTAATACAAGCGCGGTCGTTGCTGCTCATGCGCATTAGATCTCCCCCCGAACTGACATCGGCGGGGGAGGAGCAAAAGCAAACCCGAGCCAGCACCGAGGGACATTGGGGAGGAGATGTCTAGGGACAATGTATATGTAATCTTCAATAAACAAGAAACACTTTGAAAAAAGACCTGTGAGTGCACCTACTATTTTGTGAATATATTAGTATGCTGAAGTTGCACCAAGGCAAGATTTTTAACAAGCATCAGTAAACGGGTGAGTGCCAGGGCTATATCTATCTATCTATCTTTTAGGCACTCACCCTTAAAGTAATTCGTATGAATCTTGCCTTTGGTGCTTCCAGCGTCCAAATTATAACCAAAGATAGATAGGAGCACTCAAAAGGACTTCTTTATCGATATTTATTGTGGTAAAAGTTTACATCAAAGTGTAGAACATCAAATCGATGTCGAAACGTCGATTTGATGTTCTACACTTTGATGTAAACTTTTACCACAATAAATATCGATAAAGAAGTCCTTTTGAGTGCTCCTATCTATCTATCTATCTATCTATATATATATATATATATATATATATATATATATATATTTAGAATAAAATACCTTTAAAAATAATAAATTAGGTGGGGGAATGTCTTAAAGATAAAACAATGTAAAATAAAATTTAGCCTAGTAGGTAAAAGGGGTTAAACAGATAGAATGAGGCTTACTAGGTTGACTGATCATGCCAACCACAGGTCTAAAAGGCAATGCGCTCCTGGGTATGTAGGTAGGTTGCTACTCTGCGGCTCAGGTGGAATGTCCTGCTGCCCCTCTGCCATTCTAGCCAGAAATCTCGCAAAGATGCAATCCAGTTTTGACAGTGTTGCTGAAATATGTGTTGCGGCTGAGGTTCCAACTTCAATCCCCGCCATCTTGGAAGCCACGAGGGGCCCTATTAGATGGCAACTGTGAATTGTAGCTTTAGGTGCAGTGTATAGTGATGGTGGGCTCCTGGGACCTGGATAATCCCCATCGGTCCAAAGGGGGGGGAGGTGGAGAAGTGAGATCTGATCAGATGGATTCAGCAGCAGGAGAGTAGCCATCTCTCCCACATCAGCCCCACTTATAGGCCACAAAGAGCACAATCGGGAAATCAAGGTAAGGAATGCTTCTAATTTAGTATCACTCGGTTCACCAAAGTGCCCCTGTGACACTTTGTTAGATCTGCAGATTGATCAAAATAATTCAGGAAATTGCTCTGCCAAGCTCAGGAACTCACTCAGCATGCATCCACGCTATTTGGCAGTCAGGCTCTGTCCCCATAAAGATCCATTTAATTTCTTCTTAGGCTAGAGTGTGGAAATGGTTACCTCCTCTCCAAATGACATCTATCTTTTTAATCCCTACAAATTCTAGAAGGAAAGGATCTCTTATATGATATTTATAGAAATGTGCTTAAAGGAACACTATAGTCACCAAATCAACTTTAATTTAATGAAGCAGTTTTGGTGTGTAGAGCATGCCTCTGAAGTTTCACTGCTCAATTATCTGCCATTTAGGAGTTAAATCACTTTTTTGCTGTTTATGTAGCCCTAACCATTCCTCCCCTGGCTGTGACTGAGACAGAGACAGAGATGTAACTTACTTTAACAGCTTTTATATCTTGTTCTGTAAACTGAAATACATACACTTGGCTCCTTCAGGGTCTAGCAGGCTATAAGAGGAAGAGAGAATATATTCTAAATTAAATAGAATTTGCAATAAAGGAAGTTTAAACATTAGATGACTCTTTACAGGAAGTGTTTAGGAAGGCTGTGTAGGCCACATGCAGGGAGGTGTGACTAGGGCTGTGTATGCAACGTTAGTTTACTTCTAAATGGCAGAGAATTGAGCAATGAAACTGCAGGGGCATGATCTATACACCAAAACTGCTTCATTAAGCTAAAGTTGTTTTGGTGACTGTAGTGTCCCTTTAAAGATTGTGACTAGGGTAGCCTTTTCTAATACTTCTCATAAGATCTCCTATTCTAATATGGAGTGGTCTACAGGTTCTTTCCTTATACCCTAAGCTACGGGGACATGTTTAAAATAAATTTTATTGTTAGTTTATTCCCCAATTTTAAACTTAGTCTTAGAATTGGACTGAGGCATTTTATATAATTGTTTTTGTGAGGAATTACTTGTTTTGCATGGTTTGCAGTTTACACATCTATAGAAGCCTTTCACTTTATTCCTGGAATCTTTCTTTCTAATAAAAAATTTTTAACCATTTTTTGTTCAATGCTTAGGGCTCACATAAATACAACCTTTTGGTTTGTCCTCCAGAATCCCTTCCATGTTCTATATTTTTCAATAAATCCAGTGCTTTGTTATAATTATTTTTATTCTTACATTCTCTTTATTGTAGCCAAGAATAAGTCATGGTTTTGTGTTTCTAATTTTGATAATTTTCTGTTTCACTTTTAATAGGTCTTCACTGTTCATGCTTGCATCTTCTTTAATGCAGAAATGAATCAGTTCTTTGTCATATTCCTTTTCCACAAATGTATTTTTCATTATTTCTGATTTTAATTCAAACATCTTTGCCAAGCAAATTCTTCTTATTCTCCTCATCTCATTATTAGGAACATTCTCAGACCACCTTGAAAGGTGACATCTCTTTTGAAATTAAATATATATCTGTTAAAATTTACTTTCATAAAAATATTTTAGTATGAATTTTGTTTTCATTTAAATTCCAAGCACTCCTTACCCCACTTATTGTTATTGAGTCATATGTTCCATGTGTTCTGATTGAGGTAAGTTAATAGCTGCTCCAGTTCTTTTGAACTACCACTCCAGATCATAAAGAAGTCATCAATGTACTGCTTATAGGTCACCTATATGTTATTGTTCCACAAATGAGGTTGCCAAACATATTCTTCCTCCTATGCTTACAAAATGGGCAAAACATGATGCAAACCTGGTGCTCATGGCATTACCTTTGATTTGGAGATAAAATTGATAGTCACACCAGAAATAGTTATTTTTCAAGATAAAATCAAGGGCTTCTATTAAAAAAATAACTTGGAGAATATCAATGTCTTTAGCATTTTCTAATGTCGTTCTGACTGAGCTGCACGCTAAATCATTATCTATGTTGGCATATAGGGAGGAGACATCACTAGTGACTTTCAGGTGAGATTTCATCTTGATCACATACAATTGGAGAAATGAATCAATGTGTTGAGATAGATTAGATTTTAGGGAATTGATTCCTGAAATGATGGGCCTGCCAGGAGGGTATTTTTGATAAGCAATAAAAAGTTGGAATTTTGGGGAATTTATTAAAAATAAATTCATATTTTTTTTTTACTCAGTGTTCCATTTGTTAATGCTTTCTCCAGAAAATCGTTTATTTTCTTCATTTACTCTGTAGTTGGATCTTTGGGTAGAATAATTAAGTTTCTCTATCCCCCAATAATCTCATAGCTTCTTCTGTATATTGTGCCTTGGAAAGAATTGCTATTCCTCCTCCTTTGTCCGACAGTTTTATGATGAATCTTTCATTCATTCTCAGTTCCATCAAAGTATGCCTTTCATCTTTAGTGAAATTATCATTCCTATTAGTCCTTCTTTGTAGTTTACCTATGTCTTGTATTACCGATTCTCTGAATAAATCCATTTGTGTTGCCATCATATATTAGGAAAAAATTGTGAGGTGGGCTTCAATTAACTATGTTTAAAAAGAATTAGCGTCTGCTGTATTGTCATTTATTATAGTTTTTACACATCATCTTTTCAATTCTTGAAATAATTTTTTTCAAACACAAATTTCTCAGAAATGTCTGGTTATTGATATAACATTTAAAACGATTTACTTAATTTTTGGGGGGCAAATCTTCCCTCCTCCTCTGCATCCACGAACTGTATCTTTTAGAGTGTTAAGGTATATACATGATACTGATTTGATGGATTCATTATGTATTTACAAACATTATGCTTTAACACAATATTTAGGCGATATGTCTCTCTGATTAACTGAAAACCCATTTAATCTGTTTCCATCAAATGCGAACCTATAGGGTTAATTGTGCAATTCAGAGTATATCAGAACCGTAAAGACTATATAAATGAGAACTGGTAATTCAGGCCAAGCCATTGAGAAAGCCTACAAAGGTGACGAAATGCGTCTGGTTACTCAGTAATGAAAGAAAGCAAACGCCAACACAAGCCTGCAGTGGATGAGAGACCCTGGATCCCCGTCTGACACGGACCGCACTAGCAATATTGGATGCATTTTAACTACTAACATATAAGTGTATTTCTTTCAATTACTTATGAGTATTACCTATGCAAGGAAAGTTTGAGGAAGAGTGTGGGAGCATTGTTTTTGGTTGAAGTAACTCTTGCCCTGCAGGTCTGTAACCACAAACAACAAAAATGTATTTGCTAAAACCTACCTGAAAACTTAATCTGAAACGCCAAAGCCAGGTTCTCCCTCATGATCTTCCCCCACTGTTGTCACTCCATCTTGTTGCCTGAGAGAGATGACGGGCTGGGAGGAGGAATCTGTACTGTAGTGCTGTTGGCTGTCTGAGTGCCAGCATGCTGTGCGTGCTGGTGTCTGATGCCAATTTTGCACAGAATTACATTAGCCACCAAGATCTCTGGCTAATTCTGGGCTGGCTAATGACGTCTCTATGATGCAGCCCTACTTGGAGTTACACCTCTGGAAGCAGAGGGATTAACCACCATAAGTTGCTGTATATACAGACTGCAGGTACCATGACTTCAAAACAATGAAGTGTTTATGATGCTTGGAGTGACCCTTTACAACCCCTAATATAAGTTCCATGGCAAACAGAGTGCCCCAATCCTTTAAAAAAATATAGTGAGCACTTGTATGTTATGAAAGCATGACAGGTCTGATTATCATTCTAGATGTCCTACATATCTTTCGCTGAAAAGATAGCAGGAGTAATGCTTAACTGATTGATTATCAGTAAGGTGTTCAAAGTACTTTAGTTATTGCAACATGAATTTAATCAAGATATTTAATCAAGACTAGATAAAAGAAAAGCGGACCAGTGTGAAACTGTATGCTTGGTCTTCAGCATCTGACAAAATCTTTGTACTTGGTCATTGTTTCTGCAATATGTTTTGGATTACAGAAAACTGGCAAGGGAAAAAAGTTGTCTAGCTCCACCTCAGTAATGAATTATCAGCATGTATAATTTTTAAATTAGTGTTTTCATTAACTATAAATGCAAATCTAGTTTAAAATGAAAAGTATAATAGAGTGCTCTGGGATGATGTTCTATTGAAGTGTTTGTAGGTGTTTTTCTAAGATGATGTACAATGTCATACAATGGAACTACGGCTTTTTATGATCGCAAATATAATAAAATGTTTGTAACCCTGTCCAGAGGTAACACAGTTCAATGCACACGATATGGGGACAAATTGAACAAAATGTAACTAACTCCAGGATTTCACAAAACAAGCAAAAAAACGCAAAAACAACCAACCCAAAATAAAAAACTGGGGCTGGATCCCGCAACAAAAGGTGAGGACACTTCCCTCAATATCAACCCCGTAATCTGAGTAAACTCCTACTTACTTGATCCTTTCCCAATCTCTAAATATCAGAAACAACAAACCTACATATACAAAAGACAAGTGCAGTTAAATAAGTAAACTCAGAACTAAAGAGAAGGATATATTTATACAGACACAAACACCCAACTGTGCACAAACATTTACACATGCAGACATGCCAGGTCTATACCTCTGCTGATGCTGATGTGGAATCAATCAATCAATTGATAATCTTGCGTATCTGCCCATGGCGAAATTTAAAAAGATGCGTGCACGCTCCTGAAGTAATTCACACCAGATACAGGTTTCGGGTTAATGAAAAAAAATTACATCATATGCATTGTCAGAGATAACATGGAATAATACATCAATAATTGGTTAGGTGTTAAGTGGTTCATTTAGTGCCCTTCCCCACGGGTGTGATGTCACTGATATCTTGGAGGTCTCCCCCAGATTCCAGTGCCATCTTGTTAATGAGGGTGTTAGTCGATGTCAAGGGGAAACTCCCTAGCAGCCATTTTAGGTAAATCACATATAAGGTTGAATAATGCTGATTGCGGTTATGCTGAGTAAATAGGCATTTTATTAATATGAATTGGGTTAATATTTTTGTCCACAACAGTCCCCCCTTAAAATGACTATTTACTAAAGAGACAACTACTAACTGACCCTAATAATGTCCCTACTTGGCTGCAGCTCATCTGTCTGAACAGGCCTCGAACGCTTCACTGCGCGGGTATCCCGTAGTGGCTAACCCACTACATCTCCCGCGTCAGACTCCTACCCGTGGAGACAGACGCTGTCCCTATGCTGTCCCTATAAAGAAGTAGTTGTCCTTTTGAGGTGATGGGACTGAAGAGGTGTATGCGGTGTGTCACAGTCTATATCGTCAATATCTTGATGTAGGAATGTAGGTGTGGTGCGGTCAATGGTCTGATCTACAGTCTTTTGTAAGTACCTTTGCACCCAGGGCATCACGCAACAAACATGGAAGAGGAGGAGAATCACTACTGTAAGAACTGCCATACCTACTTGAAAGAGCAATCTCTGCCATCCACTCATCCATCCTAACCATCTGTCCCATGAATTGGAGACCCCTGAGTTCTTTTTTAATTCGGCAGAGAGACTTTCTAATTTCTCTATGGCCATGGTTACTTTACCATTGGGGCCTGTATTATCTGGGATGAAGGTACAGCATGTCATATTTTCGGGGAGTGTTTTACACACACCCCCTTTTCTGCTAGGATCATGTCTAAGGCCATTCGATTCTGGAATGTCATTTGGGAGGTAGCCTGCAATTGTTCTGCCAAGCTTTGAAGGGCATCTCTAGTATAAGTGGCAAAACGTTGCTGATTATAATAGATATCATTAATCCAGTTAACATTCTTGTTAGTGGTGATCAGTGGGATCAAGGATTCGAATCCTGCTGCAACCTCATCTCTGGCCTTGAACTTGTTTGGTACCCCCCTTGGTACACCTATGGCATCGATATATATATGTGGGTCGAAACTACCTTGAATAGGGGTTTCTATTTTTATCCTGAAGTACATGTGTGGGGAATCAGGTGGGCCTTGGTGGTTATCAGAAATTATATGTATAGGCATGATGGCTTTGGTCAGAGTGCATTCTCCCCACCACAGGCCAATCATTTTAGATCTGAGTTGCATATCACCACATAGGCAATAAATGTCTCCCAAGGACTTGACTTGATTTACCAATAAGGTAGTGGGAGGTGTCCGATAGGTGGCACAGTAGCCGGGAGGGAAACTACCCACAAATTTACCCGTGGTACCGTGTATAGTGTAGCAAGTGTAATTACCTGGATACACGGTGATTCCATCAGGTGGCCTGAGATTGAGTTATTGGATATGCCTTTTTCCATGATTCACATACTGATGAGTTTGTGGCTGATTGTACATAGAGGCTTAGAAAACACATCTCAACATCAGGGGGTAGATTAAAAGGCACTGTACCCAGATGGGGTCTGGCCCCACCACAGACATAACAGTTAGTTTTATTGTGTGAATTAGCATTATACCTCATCCACTCGAGCCATAGATTGGTATCTGAAAAACCGGTCTCCACAGCCATAGTGTCCTCGAATGTAGGATTGGCAATTGCCACCATGTCCTTAAGAGTTTTAATGTGTGGTTTTAGAGGGTTCGTGATCATGTGTGTAGAGTCTACGCAGTCAGGTGATGTTTGCATGTCTTGTAAATAGAAGGTCCCCAACTTGTTATATGAGCCACCCCCTCTCCAGTACATCCCCATTACGTACTCTCCAGTGTCTGGGCTGGGATGTTCTATGTTTAAGGTGAGTTTCATTGGGGTAGACCCTGTCGGCTTACATAAGGTCATTCTGTGTAATAAGGGTTTCCAATGTCTGTCTACCCTATCCAAGGTGCTTTGTGGTCTGTAGCCCCATGTAGCCTATGTTCCAACCTGCTGCTTTCCAGGTACTACAGTGATGTCCCCAATGGTCACCTGTCACACAAAAGTATGGGTCCTTTCTATTGGGTGAGACAAAAAGTTTGAATGGTTGCTGATAGTTAGGTAGGCCCAAAGCTGGGGCAGAGGAGATGGCCCTTTGAAGGGCGTAGTAGCAGGAGTGAGCTGTTAAAGACAATGAAAATGGTTCGGTCTTCAAGGCATCATAGAGAGGTTGCATGAGCTGAGAAGCCTCAGGGATCCAAGACCTGCAGTATGTGATGAGGCCCAAGAAGACATCAAGAGCTTGATGAGTAGATGGGAGAGAGAGATTTGTAATAGCAAGTACTCTGTTCTTTGTTAGGTGTCGGGTGCCATGGGAAAGGCAATGTCCCAAGAAGACCACAGAGGGCCGGCACCACTGAAGTTTCGTTCTTTAGGCTTTACATCCTTCTTCAGTGAGGAAACAAAGGAGATCTTCGGAATTTTGTTCAGCAGTTGGAGGATCATCCGCACTGAGGAGTAGATCATCCACATACTGGAGCAGGACCACGTCAGGGTGAGACTTCTGCCAAGGTTCTAAGACAGTTGACATAGCTTTGGCGAATTGAGTAGGGGAATTTTGTGCACCTTGAGGCATGACAGTCCAAGTGTACTGTTGGCGATCATGTGTGAAAGCAAACAGATATTGTCAAGAGGGACCCAAGGGCACACTGAAAAAGGTGTTTGCAAGATCAACCACAGTGAAGAATTTAGCTGTTGGAGGGACTTGGGACAACAGTGTATGTGGATTCGGGACAACAGCAGTGTCTCGGTTGGTGACATCATTAACAGCACGGAGTTCTTGAACCATACGGTATTGGTTAGGTTGGCCTTTTTCAGTCTTCTTCTTCACTGGAAATAGAGGGGTGTTACACTCTGACACATACTTTACCAGAGCTCCTTTTGCCAACAGACTTTCAACTTGTTTGGAGATGGCATGGCTTGTGCAGGCTTTAATGGCTACTGTGGTCTTCGTGGTGGATTAGCTCCCTTTAGTAGCGTGACAACCACGGGTGGGACTCTTAGACGTCCAATGTCATCTGGGCCTGTAGAACAAAGTTTGGTAGGGACCCTATCCAGGGCACTGGGGGCATCTGGGACCCTTACCTCCTCGGAGGGGGAAGTTATGTGTAGCAGTAGGGGCAAAGAGCAAAGAACAGAAGTATCTTTGCGAGAAAGGGGGGTTAATAATCGAACCTGGCCGTCAGCGGTGAAGGAGATAGAAGCTTGAAGTCGTGACAGAACATCAGCACCTAATAGGTTAATTGGACAAGTAGAAGAGACAACAAACCGTGAGAGAATGTCTGAACCCACCCACAAGAGCTTAGTTAATGGGTTGCTTCTAGGGATACCATCGACACCTACACAAGAGACATCTGTGTCGAATAAGTAAGATGAATCAGGCAGGTCTTGTTCTCTGAGAACACTGCGGTCTGCAACTGTGTCAACTAAAAAGGTAGTAGGATGACCCTGTACAGATAGGACTACTGTAGCGAGAGGCCCCCCTTTGTCCCCTGTAGACACTGCCATGACAGGGGTGTTAGACACAGGTTTGCCAGTTACATATTGTAAGAGGTCTAGATGAGATTGATCAGGGCCAGTGTAGTGACATGTGGGTGCAGTGGAGCGACTGGGCTGCTGAGT